TCCCACCCCAGGGATGATCCCAGAGATGATCCCAAGAACTTGGGCTCCCTTCCCACCCCAAGGATGATCCCAAGGATGGATCTGGGCTCCAATCCCAACCCATGGATAATCCCAAGGACTTGGGCTCCCTTCCCACCCCAAGGATGATCCCAAGGAAGAATCTGGGCTCCAATCCCAACCCATGGATAATCCCAAGGACTTGGGCTCCCTTCCCACCCCAGGGATGGCCCCAAGGAAGAATCTGGGATTTATTCCAACCCCAGGGATGATCCCAAAGACTTGGAGCTTGTCGGGCGGTGCCTCCGGAGCGACCCCGGCGCCTGGAATTTCCGGAATTCCGGGAATTGTGGAATGTTGTCCCGCAGATCCTGGTACCCAGAATTTCTGGGAATTCCGGGAATTCAGGGATGTCATCCCACAGATCCTGGCACCCAGAATTTCTGGGAATTCTGGGAATTCAGGAATGTTATCCCACAGATCCCGGCACCCGGAATTTCCAGAATTCTGGGAACTGTGGAATGTTTTCCCACAGATCCTGGCACCCAGAATTTCTGGGAATTCCGGGAATTCAGGAATGTCTTCCCGCAGATCCTGGCGCCTGGCATTTCTGGGAATTCTGGGAATTCAGGAATGTCTTCCCGCAGATCCCGGCGCCCGGAATTTCCGGGAATTCCGGGAATTCAGGAATGTCGTGCCGCAGATCCCGGCGCCCGGAATTTCTGGAACTCTGGGAATTCAGGAATGTTATCCCACAGATCCTGGCACCCGGCATTTCTGGGAATTCTGGGAATTCAGGAATGTCGTGCCGCAGATCCTGGCGCCTGGAATTTCTGGGAATTCCGGGAATTCAGGGATGTCATCCCACAGATCCTGGCACCCGGAATTTCTGGGAATTCCGGGAATTCAGGGATGTTGTACTGCAGATCCTGGCACCTGGAATTTTGGGAATTCTGGGAATTGTGGAATGTCTTCCCGCAGATCCTGGTACCCGGAATTTCTGGCAATTCCGGGAATTCAGGAATGTCATCCCACAGATCCCGGCACCCAGAATTTCTGGGAATTCCGGAAATTCAAGAATGTCATCCCACAGATCCCGGCACCCGGAATTTCCGGAATTCCGGGAACTCAGGAATGTCTTCCCGCAGATCCCGGCACCCGGAATTTCCGGGAATTCCGGGAACTCAGGAACGTCTTCCCGCAGATCCTGGCGCTGGCGCGGCGGAGGGGCCGGAGGGTGAAGGTGGTGGGGGGCGGCCACTCCCCGTCCGACATCGCCTGCACCGACGGCTTCCTCCTCCACCTGGGAGCCATCAACAGGGTCCTGCAGGTCAGATGGGATTTGGGAATGATCTGGGAATTGGGAATGATCTGGGAATTGGGAATGATCCAAGGATCGGGATGGGGAAATCCCGGCGCCGGCGGGAGGGGCTGGGAATGACCAGCACGGATTAATTAGGGAATTAATTCAGTTTTTAATTAGAATTTATTATTAATATTATATTATTATATCATTGCATTATATTATATTATATTATATTACATTATATTATATTACATTAT